CTCGACGATGCAGGTCGGACCGCCTTCATCGGGCATGCCGGGAGAGGAGGGACAACTTGGAAAAATCCAAGCTGGCGAAGACAACGCTGGGGCATGTACTCCTCGACGATCTCACGATACTGAATGAGTCCCGTGTACAGGGTCCTGGGTACCCTAACACTAAGGTTCGGGCCGAAAGGCATCCAGTTCACCTGCACATAGTTTTAAAATTTAATAACATGAATATAATATGTGCAAATAATAAAATGTAGAAACAATTTATAAACGTTACCTCTAAGGGGGACAGCCTGTCAAGCAATAACCGTATCGATCGGAGGCGGTCAACGGACTTCTTCTCCGAGCGCGGACTCCACGCACAAGCACGCGGCATCCCCTCATCAATAGGAACCGGGTCACGATGTGGTCGCAATGCAGGAAAGTACTCGTATATCCAGGTCTGCAATAGAGTCAGACACCCAGTGATACCTGCCGCGTCAGCCCGACTCGCAAATCCTAGTTGGCGATACAAATACGCCAACGTAGCCGATCCCCAGGAAAACTAGCCTACACTGTCGGGGTCACACGCCTCTGCTATGTCGCGTGGCCTGAGCTTGTTTCCGCCGCTCTTATCCGGAAACAAGGTACATCCGAGGAGTAGAAAAACATAAGCACTCAGTTGTGCGTCGTGCGTCCTACATGCACTAGGGTACAAACACCGCTGCAACACGGATGCGATCTTCACACTGCCGTGCTCCCAAACACCAAGCGCCTCGGTGTACAGTGCAGCCCTGTCCACCGCCAACAACTCCGCCAGCAAATCTGCCTGATCTGCATCAGTCACAGCACAAAGCCGTTTACCCTCAACACGAATCCCCAGAATGGCCTCGACGTCATGTAACATGATCGTCATCTCACCGAACGGAAGGTGGAAAGAGTTTGTATCCGGCTGCCATCGCTCAACGAAAGTCGTGATCAGCGTACTGTCAATCTTATCGTGCATGGTGGCAGGAACGTGATTCACCCCAGTGCCCTCCAGTCGCTCGAACATCTCGCTCTCCGTCGGCCAAGCCTCAGTCGGCCAAGTCACATGCCCAGTGCGCCTTGAATAAACGCCACAACCGTGGCTATGGCGTCCAGCCCAGGCGCCAGCCTACTGGTTGCGGCGTCTGCAGCTGGCGCCACCACCGCTGGCTGGGCGTCCAGCCAAGGCGCCCCTCCTCCGTCACGGCCGTTTTTCCTTTTTTTTTTTTTTTAACAAATTGTACCTTGCCTCCTTGAGACCTCCTTCCCTCCGCCGCCGCCGCCAATTCCTTGCCTTGCCGCCTCGACATTGCCATAGTTTGAATATTTTTTTTTTAGAGATGTTGAAAGAAGATGAGCGATGAGAGTGTGAGTGATGAGAGTGTGAGTGTTTTTTTTTTAAGGTCAAGGGCAATATTGTCAAATCAAGTGAATTTTGTGGGCTTTATGTGGAGATTTGCGGACGATGTTTAACAAATCCCTTATTTTTTGGAGGTACATTGTATAGTTTTTTTTTTTTAATCAAATTAATTCATTAATAAAAAGTCATACGACATATAGTTTTATTGGGAATAACATGCACCATTAGTGTAATATAATATATACTATTTTTAAATATTTTCAATTAACTAATCAAAACTAAATTTTTTTTTTCTCAATTGTAGTTTTAATAATTTCTGCCTTATCATTTCATCTTTCTTATATGCATTGCATTTGTTTATTCTACACGAATTGCTTCATTTTTATATTATATCATAAATTAATAATGGGAAAAAAAATATTACTACCGTGCATCGCACGGGCACTAATCTAGTACCAACTAAGGATGTGCAAATATCAACTAAGGGTGTGCCAAAATCAATTTCCAAAGTTAGTTGAATGGTCCACATTCATTTTTAGTAATGGAATTTTTTTTTTTTTTGACAATTTTTTTTTAATAGGAATATAGAAAAATTATTTGTGAATGAGGGAAATACTTCATAAATTGTGTAGAGATTAAACCTCTCAATAACCAAGAGTTCGAACATAATTTAGTAGTCTAATTAAATTCTTTCTTCGTTTATGTTCTTTCTCTCCCTTCATCTCTCCTTAGCTTGCATAATTTCCCAAAGGGAATGAAAATACGGTGACCAAGGGACCTAACTTGGTCATTGTTATTGAGGTCCTCTTCATGTAGAAGAAGTTTCGGCTTTCGTGTTTGATATAACCTTATGTATCCTTAATTTTACCAGCTAAACTAACTAGTATTTTCAGTAAATCCTTACGGTTTCAGTATATTTAGTTATTTACCCATAAAAATGACTGAGAGTACTAGTGTAGAATATATGAGGATCTAAGAATAATAGTTTAGGGGCCGAATACTTGAATAATTCAAACACAAGTGTGTAATTATATCACTTTTGCATGTGAATGTAAATAGATATGGCAAGATTAGCCCTTTTCAAAGGAAATCTTAACAGTTCCCATGATATGAAAATAGTATAAAAACAAACAAATAAAACAAAGACTTATAACAAAATTAAAATTGTCCACGAGCTAATCCAATAGACTTTCATCACTTTGGAGAGAGAAAAACTATAATTAAAAGTTGAACATAAGTGTGATTTGGGACCCAATAATGAATTTTAGGGGTGGAGAGAATCAAAATTAATCCTAAACATATACATAATATTTCAATAACAATTTAAAGTAGAATTAGTAGATTAATAGCCAATTAACAAAGTGAAATACATTACTTTCAAAAAAAATCAAAAAGGAAGGTGGGTCCATGATTCATGAGGAAAAATATCAATGAGTAACTGTGGCTTGTGGAATTGGAAATTAGAGGGGGTGATGATGCCACCTATTGGTCCAACCTTTCTTTTAGCTTTACTAACCAAGTTTAATGGACTGTCAATGCTGTAAAGTTTTTTTTTATTTTTTTTGAATTTATCATTATAAATTTAATAAAATAAATAAAACTTAGAATAATATTAAGATAAAGAAATTAAAAAAAAAAAAACTCGAGTGAAGTCGTGAACTTATAGTATAATTATACTCTACTATGTAAATCATAATTTGCTACTTGCTAGAATTGACCTCATGGAGTCATGGGTCTATTATGAAATATATTAATTACAACCCTTTTTTCCACAATTAAATGTCCAATTTTCCCACTCCAAAAAAGAAAGTACTGTTTTTTAAGATTAAAGGAGACCTAATTCCCTTAACAAATGATACCACAATTCCACAAAATTCAACAAAAATATAGCCTTACCCCTTACTAAAATATTATAATTAATATAAAATAATATAGGTTCAAAACAAAAATATATTCAACAAAAATAGGTATCATTACAAAAATTGTTCAACCAGTATTCCAACAAAATAAATCAAGTTCAACAAATTGAAGCTTATCAAAAATACAATAAATAATGGAACACATCCGTAAAGTGCATTGGTCATAAATTTGATACTATATAACCTTGAGATCATGAACACAATATTACTAGATAACGATAAAACCCAATTCATGTTAAACTTTTACACATTTCAAGAAAACAGTAAAACTGATAATTAGTAATAATCATCCTAAGATAAACTTTAAGTAGTCAATTTTCAAACACAGCTTTATTCCCTCCACTCTTTCTACTATTTGGTCAGAATTTGACAAAACATACCAGTATCTTTCTCATTGATTCATCAACGTTAAGTCCATTATTCACCTTCACATCTCTAAAATGATACTGTGAATAACCATGTCATTGCTTGAGTAATCACAGTCATGAACCCTACAATTTGATTTTTAGGGAAAAAAAGAGAGTGATGCAGAGCCCAACATTTCGGTTTTCGGGTTGAAAGTGATGTGCACAGCCCTGCGCTTAATTTTTGGGGATAAAGTGAGGTAGAAAAACAGTCTTCAAGTTATAACATGCTCATATGTTGATTTTTGAAATTACAAACTCTGATATAATCCTTACCATTATAACTCCTCAAAACTTGACCGATCTATGGTGCTCCCAAACCCATGAGTGTCACCATGTACGCACGCACAAGGACTTTTGCATGACTCAATGTTAACCCATGAGCCATGAAAGACACATAATACATGACTTAAACGTGCTAGCGTGAGAGCCATCCTTGGTACTCCCAAGTGAATGAAATTATTTGGAGGCTTACTATTGAGATGGTACTCCCACTCTGGCAGTCAATATATCAGACTTCCAAAGTCTAATACTTTACATGTCGAAAGATGCATTATCTCCGTCCCAATATAATTTCAATTCTACACTATCAGTCTATTACTAATTGAAGTTATAAATGTCACCAATAAAGCTTTAAACTATATAACAGCAACTGTTAATTTCAACTTAGTACTCGTAGTTAAACTGCAATCATGCTACTAAACAGACTGGTAATGATACAGCACTTCAAATAAAATTGGCTGCAATTTTCTATTATATATACATTTAAAAAGTCTGATGTGTGTACAATTGTTATAATAATTCTCTTCAACTAAGCAAGTGAGAACATAAGAAACCGAGGATCATGCTCCTACAATTTATATACATGTTGCAGCATGTTAAAAAATTGTGAGGTGTCAAAAAACACAACTACGTTCAGGGTTTCTCTTCCTGAAGTATCATATTCACTGGGTTCTCCTCTGCCCAAACAGCAGCATCTGAGTATCCAAACTCAAAGAGCTTGTCAAGCACATAATCATCTGCTGGCTCAAGCGCCCAATTAAAAAGCTACAAACAATTACCATTAACTGAATCAGTTCTCCTACTAACTACTGTAATTAGACCTTACACCTTATCAAAATAAAGATGCAGTTGCATCTTTCTTTCTATCAATAAAGTACCTTGCTCAACATTTCTCTAACAATAGCATAAAAGTATACGACTTTAAAAGCTTACCTGTCGAATAGTAAGCCTACTCTCGGGGTTTAAGTCCGGACTAATCCCAATGCCTTCCATTCGTATACTACTAGCAGGGAAGGCACAAACACGAACCTGCCAGTCACCCAATAAATAAAAAAGGGGAACCTGATTAATTATATTTAAGCAAATCAATATATATATTTTTAAAAAGGTCAGAATTGCTCTATTGAAACGGGTAAGGCATCCCCACCCTCAGAGTGCCCCTAGTGGGGATTGACCCCCCAGCCTTAAAATTAGAAGATACAACTCCTATAGACTAAGCGATATGCTTGTATGATTCAGAACAACGCGCCCAATTCCTAGATGGGCAGAATACAGACCCAACAATGCTAGTTCAACTAGGGGCACAGTGACAATGTAGCATTGGAGCCTACGTGGATTAGCCAAGGCTCAGTGACAACGTAGCATCTACTCTAAAGCCCTAAGGATAAAACTTTGTTCTCTCAGTTCTGAAACCTTACAGAGAGATCCTTCAATTTGGAGAGCCAAGAGAACAGTTGCTACACTACTCCTTAGCTAAAGTGCAATTCCAATGAACCTATTCCAATCAACAATATCCTTGACTGCAGTTAAGGGTCAAAAGTTTGTTATCAATATATTAGCATATTTCCTAGTCACCCATATCATATTATCATCAGCTACATCCTCAGATTCCCACATAACAGCTTTCCTAGATCCCATCCTTCTATTCCTTAGCATTCCAAAGATAATAATTGATACCCCCATTCATAATCACATAATAATTGTTACTCCTTCAAAGCAGCCCCTACTGATTCTAATATTCCCTAATCCATGATTCTGCTACTCCATTTCCAAGGAAATTTACCCAACAATATGACAAAAAACAGCCATGCCATAATAGTATCACCACATGGACAACAAAACACCAAGCAGAAAAAAGAGCACATAAAAGCATACCGTCTGAGCACAAAACACCAAGCATGAATAGTGTCAAACCTCCATCTATGCAAAGCCGGTTCCTAAACATAGTTGCTGGTCTTGGAGCAAGATAGCGAGACCATATCAAATCAGTTTAGCATTCCAACCAACAGAGAATCGGGATTATGAGGAAATGTCATATGAAACTTACCCAGGAATAAAAGAAGAGGTGAACAACGCATTGATGAGATCTTCATTGGAGTCAAATTGATCTATCAGCAGCCCCCTTGGTCTCCATACAATTTGTGTTATAGCCACTGTGGAGTACAAAGAAACATCATTGATTATAGAGGTAAACAACCACTTGTAAGTAGTCAAACAGACCTAACACACAGCAAGATTTTCACCGAGATGGGGAAACCATCAGCATCCTAAGGCTACACTACAAGATGTTTTCTGCTTAATAGATAAGAGAAATCTAGAACAGTGTACATATCTACTCCACTACATGGGCCAAGTTCCCTAATTCAACTATTCAAGGCTTGAGTGAAAATTGAATTTTATCATAATTCTTACACCCTTACTGACACAAGTCTAGCTACATGCCTAAATATTGATTTTATGTTTTCCGATAAGCCAACTATTTTCAATAGGTTATCAGAATCCCAGAAGCCCCAGGGGCTTGATCGAGAAACGTAGTGGTGATAAAAGAAAATCAAGGCCAAGGTGCAATCCCTACTTGACAAGAGTGAGTAAAGTAAAGGAGGCAACACTGCCTCGCCAAATCACAGCCTAAACAAACAAAACCAAGTAAAAATTTACAACTATAGTCAGGAGGTACATTCTTACCTCGCACTCGCCCATTGCATCTGGTAAAAGCATCTTCTGGAAGAACCTTTTGTAATACATCTCTAAGAACAGCCTGAACAGAAAAATTTAATAAAAAAATTAAGATCTGCAACTGCAATTAATGATAATCTATCAATGACTCTGAATCAGCAGAAAATACATAGTAACTCGTCTTCAAGCCAAAATTTCTCTAACGCATGTTAACTATACACAGGAACAGATCAAAACCACAAACAATTTGAGATCAATTTAACAATATAGGGCTCCCTTTTTTATCGAGAACCTAGTTATCAAAATTTATTTGTTTGAATACAAATCATCTTCAAAAGGAATAAAACAGCAATAGAACTGGATACTTAACCTGTAGTGAACTAAAAGTATACTCCTAATACATTAATTTAGGAAGTGCATATACCCCAAGTCGAAATGCTGTTCCATTTGTCCGGCAATCTTCAGCCAAAATTTTGGTAGCCTGTAAAGCATCCTGCATGCTGCTTCCAGAGGCAATCACTGCACAAACAATCGCACCAGCTGAGGAACCAGCTAAAGGTGTTGTTTCCTGTTCTAAGCAAATATAAGGAAAAAGCACCTAGTTATTGAATGAAATATAGAAGCCAAAGCAGCAATTTCCAAAAATCTAAATTTTTAAAAGATGATTTGATCTCATTGATGTACAAAGTTACGCATAATGAGTAATGACAGAAAGCACGTTAATACACACAAATATTCCCATCCTACAATGCAACTGCCCAAAAATGAGTATATACTAGGGCCTGCCTAGAACCACAGAAGTAAATCACAATTTCACAAGACTTAAAATTAAAAGCATATAGTGGAAGGACAGTAGTTGACAGACACCATGCTTTGATACATTATAAACCTCAATCTTTATGGAGACTATGTTAGAGTGAGGACAAATTGTACTCCAATTTTAAAATCAAAATTCAGCTTTGACCATTGTTTTCATAAATATATAATGTTAAATATTGTAACAAAATGAAAATGCTTTTCAGATATATCTACAAATGTTAATTTGACATTATAATTCAAAAAATAATTTGACTTAGTTCTGGTCTAAATTAGCCAGCTATTATGAACAAAATCATATGTGGCAAACTAATTTAAAAAGGGGGCAGAATTTCTAAATCAAGATATAAATACTGCTTCAGTAAACATGCACAAAAGGTAACCAGACTTCTATGATTTTTAAGTGATGCACCATTGAATATGATAGATGAATGATTTTGAATAATATTATCGAATTCAGCAATCCAAAATTCTGCACATTTCTTTCACCAGTTATTACTAGCACAATTTCTCAATCAACATAGATAAAGGTGTAAATGGTGTTTTAGTGTTAAAAGAGGAAAGTTTATGCTGTTAAATGATAAGCTGATTCTTCAAATAGAGATATGGGGAAGACATCCACATTCCATGATCCTCTATTCCAAAAAGTAGTTAGGAGAGTCAATCTTATAGAGTGAAATCTCAGTATCTTTCACCAAACAGTTACTGATCTTTAACTAGTAATCCTACCCTTTCACAAAAGTTATACAAAAACCAGAATAACTTCAAAACATAGTTCTTAGACAATAGTGTTTTTTTTTTTCTAATCCAAGTCGAGGAGGGTGTTCATTGCTCCACTCTCATAAGTAGATCATAAGTAGAAAGAGAAAATATCAATATATATGACATCACAGAAACTTCCCCTAGAACACATAAGCTAAAGCACCTAGTGGCAAGCGCTCACAAAGAAACACAATAAGCTCATAAATCTACATGCTTTTCATGAAAAAACATACCCCTTTTATATCTTTTAGAAAATAAATCCCATGCTTCAATTGCAGAAACCTTCAATGCATGCATAAACTTGGTACTTTTTTGATCTTTAAAACACAATCATGTACCCAACCTAAGCTTAAAAGCAGTTAAGCAATAGCAACTCATTTGAATGATTAAGCACATATAATTCCATTTTATCACAACAAAGATAATGTCTAATATGTTGAGACATATACTGTGCACTTGCACACCAAAACCTCTATGATGTACAGTCCCCTGAATTCGTAAGTGTTCAACAGCCCACCAATCGTTTATCATGTATCTGCCTAACATATTCAAAACCAAAAACAATGCTTGACATCTTCATGAATTTGTTCACATCATTACTCCCTCCCCTCCCTCCCTCCCTATACCAAACCACCACAGAAGCCCATACAAGTTAAGGCATATAAAACCCTTCAATTCCATCATATCTATTTTCCTGAGCAATCTCCTCGAGAGCTCGAGTCACTGTCAGATACTTATTTTATCAACAATCACATTCCAACAACACATTAATGACATCAGCGTGAAGGTACCTTTGCAAATGACCTAGCTATATAATTCACATTATTCAACTTCCTTCATATCCGATTATTCCAATCAAACATTAAACAGAGACACTGCCCAACAATTGTTGGTTTGTAAATAAGAAACCAAACAAAAACAAAGAAAAAAACAAATCAAACAAAAACAAAAATTAAATAAACACGATAAATAGAAAGAGAAAGAATTCAACAAAATACCTGGATATAACCCTTTTCAATAAGAAATTGAGCAACTCCAAGATGATAGGGAAACAAAAGCCCAGCAGCAGAGAAGCTAAACCCAGGACTAGTCACCAATTTCCTTCGCTTCTCTTCCTCAACATCCTTCTCTCTCTGTTCCCAAACAACCTCAGGCTCCAATGAATCCTCAATGACCTTCGCAATTCTCTCTCCACTTTCCGACTTCTCACCGGAAACTTCCCTCAAAATCTTCGATTCTTCATCCATCAAAACCGTCGTATTCTCCCCCAAATTCTTAATTTTCCCACTAAAATTAATCAAACGAGAAGCAATCCCTAGAAAAATCTCTCCAGTAGCAACCCCAAATGACCGTTTCGATGGGTAAGACAGAAGATCGTTTTCTCCTCCTCCACCTTCGTCTGGTTGCTGTAATGGTGGTTCCGGTGGTGGGGCTTCGTCAGTTTCGATCTGAGAACGGTTGGAATTGGAGTAAATTGGGGAAGATTTGAAAGTGCGAAGAAGATTGAGGGATTTGGAAATGTTGATATTTTGGGGTTTGTGAAATTTAGGGTTAGGGTTGAAATTGGAATGTGGGGAGGAGAGAAAAGGGGGAGAGTGAGAGGTGTAGAGAGAGGAGAGAGAAAAAGAGGAAGGTGCAACCATGGCGGAAGAAGAGGGATGACGAAGGAAGTTGGTGGTTTGGCGGTATAAACGTAGGCTTTGCATTTGCATTGCTTGCCTCTTCTTCAACCGTTAATTCTTCGTTTAATTTTATTTGATTCCCCAACGTAACGGGGCGTTTTGGCGGATGGATTCGTGTAAGAGACTGAGAGTATGAGAGTGATATCCACCATTCCACCCCGGTTACCGACATATCTAAAGTGTCTTTGATAATGCACGAGATATTACGGAGTAATTTGTTTTTTAAATTGTTTTTTGCAATGAAATATTGAAATTTAACAAGAAATATAATAACAAACTCATATTATTATCGGTTGGTTATATATCTTAATATTGTAATTATGTCAGGTTTATCTTGTTAGGAGTTTTAGGCAAGTTAGGGGTTTCTTTTATATTGTGTTTATATATTGTCGATATATGAAATGTAAGGCCTAAGCCGTTTTCTCCAATTGTTCTTGACTTTAACATGGTATCAGAGTCTCTCTAATTTCTAGAGAAATTTTTTAATTGATCCTGGTTTTGTTCTCCAATTATTTCGCATAATTTGTGAGTTTAAGACTTCAACTATTTTATTATTTTTTTTCCTCCTTAGGACTTGTCAATACCTAATTTTGGTTGTCTGGTTGAGTGAGCGGTGATGTGTGTGTGCTTCTTACGTTTTTTGGTGGTGCGGTGCTGCGTGTGTGGTGCTGCGAGATCTAGTGCGTGAGTTGTGAGTTGTGCGTTGTGTGTGCAGCTTGTGTGAGTTTGGTGCATCTGTTTCGTGTGGAGTGCGGTGCTGCTTCTTTGTTTGTTGTTGTTGTGTGTGCTGCTCGTGTGTGGCAATGTGATGTGGTATGTGTGCTGCTCATGTGTGGCAGTGTAGTGTGGTGTGTGCGCAAGGTGTGTGCTGCGTGTTGCAGTGCTAGTGTTCTGTGCAAAGGTGCTGCTATTTGTTCACGCTTGCTTGGTTGAGGTTGCGTGTGTGTGATGCTCTCTGTTGCGTGTTTGTAGCTTGCCTCGTGTGTGGGTAAGTTGTTGTTGAAGTTGGTGTTTGATATTTGTTTATTCAAAGGCAGAAAAAGATAGTTGTCTTGCCTCTATATTTATTTTGTTTGCCATTTGCGTGTTTACTCACTATTTTTGGTTGCAAGTTGGGTAATTATTTAATTTTGGCTTGCGGCATTGTGGTGATGCAATAGTTTGGCATTTGTGCCTCAAAATTCTGCCATATTATATAGTGGCTCAATAATTTCAAAGTGTTATTGAGCTAGTTTGGTGTCTCTTTTCTTTGGCGTGTGTGTGGTTGGTGGTTGATATTTATTTCTTTGGCTTAGTGTTTCTCTTTCAATGGGGGTCCGATTCAACCGTGCTTTTGGGAGTATTAGTGAAGCTGATCATATGAGTGTTCCTACGATCATCGATGATCAATGGAGAGATCTCCTAGTTGCCGTGAAGAGTTCAAAGTCTGGATCTTCGTCCAATGGTACACTTGGTCCCTATAATTCCGTTGAGTGGCTCATTGAGACGGGAGCTTCAAATCATATGTCTGGTAACATTGACTTATTTACAGATTTATGATATTTCGTCACCTGTTGGATTGCCTAATGGAAAGAGTACGACGGCTACGAAAGAAAGGGCGAGTACAATTACTAGAATTTGTTATCCGTTTCTCGATAATGTTCTCTATGTACTTGCTCTTCAATGCAACTTGTTATCCGTTTCTCAATTACTAGAAAAACAATGCTATTCTATTATGTTCACTGACAAGCTTTGCATTATTCAGGACCACAATTTGAAGAACCTGATTGGAGCGGAGGAACAGTATGATGGGGTCTATATCTTTCGTCCAGTTCATGCTTGTAATCCACAGGCAAACAAAGTGGTGGTTTTAGATGAATGTTTGTTATGCATGGAACAGGCGTCTCGGACATCCGTCAATGCAAGTGGTTAGTTCTCTTACGGGCGTTTCTCACAGTAGTCATGGTCATAGTATTCATTCTGGTTGTTTGTTTGATTGTGATATTTGTTTTATTGGGAAAAAACCCCATAACTCTTTTCCGTTGAGCTTTGTTTTGATTTGGTTTTATTGTGATATTTGGGGTCCGAATAAGCTTGCTTCTAGTTGTGATGCTCGGTATTTTCTTACCATTATTGATGATTTTTCACGTGCTACTTGGGTGTTTCTCATGGTTGGTAAATCTGAGGCTTCTCAATTACTTCGTGAGTTTTGTGCTATGGCTAAGACTCAATTTGGTCGGAAAGTGAAGGTGGTTCGTAGTGATAATGGCCAAAAGTTTCTCAGTTTGGGGTCTTTCTTTGCTAAGAAAGGCATTTTACATCAGACTCGTGTGTTGACACGACTAAGCAGAATGGTCAGGTTGAACGCAAGCACCGTCACATTTTGAATGTGGCTTGTGCTATTCGTTTTCAGGCTAAATTACCTAAGTATTTTTGGGAGGAGTGTGTTATGTCGGCGGTGCATCTCATTAATCGCACCCCTACTCCGGTTCTTAAATGGAAAACACCTCATGAGTGTTTGTGTGGACAAACACCTTCATATGATAGTTTGCGGGTCTTTGGTTGTCTTTCTTATGATGCGAATCGTCCTCGGATTAAAGACAAGTTTGATTCTCGTTTCCGAAAGTGCATTTTTGTTGGCTATCCCCATGAAAAGAAAGGGTGGCGTCTTTATGATTTGGCTACTTATGAATTTTTTATAAGTCGAGACGTTCAATTCTTTGAGGACACATTTTTGTATCTTGAGTCTCTTCCGAATGAGCGAAGAAAGCTATAGGATAAGTATTTTGCTAACCCACCCGTGTGGGATGATGACGAGGGAGGCCATGTTTTTTTTATCAAGGTGTGAGTACGGACATGGCAGTCCACGCCGCAACCCAATTGCGGGAGCAAGGGCCCGGCCGCAACCAGGTTGCGGACCTCAATGCCCAGCCCTCCTTTGCACCTACTCCAGCCCCTGCAAAGCAGGCCAGTGCCCAGCCAGCACTTGCGACACAGGGTAGCATCCAGCCACGTCCTGCTGCGCAATCAGCCCACAAGCAAGGTGCTGGGCAGTCAACAGGTAGCAGCCCGCAGCACAGCAGTCAGCAGCCCAGCAGTTCGCAGCACAACAGTCATCCATTGTCACGCCCTGCTGCTGGGCAGTCCGCGTTTAATTCAGCGGCTGTCCAATCCGATGGCATGCACCAGTCGTCTCGTGTCCTTGATCCGGTTAGTGGTGCAACGTCTAGTGTTCTTGATCCGGTTAGTGGTGCGCAACATAACTCGGATAGTGTACTTGAGCACGAAATTGTCAATGAAGACATTGTTATTTCGCCGTTACATTTGAGGGGGAGTTCTCCGGATAATTTGGGTAGGGGTCATCGTGAGAAACGTCCTCCTTCGTGGCATCGTCACTATGCTTTGAATACTGTTATTACGGAAAATATAGACCCCGCTACATCAATTGTTGTCCCTCCTCAATCTTGTTCTTCAGGTAAACCTTTCCCTATAGCTTGTCATGTTGAATATAATCGTTTTTCTATGAGACACAGGTGTTTTTTGGCGACAATTACTAAGGGAAAGGAACCGTCTTCATTCAAAGAGGCAGCTAAAGACGTCGGTTGGCGTAAGGCGATGCAAGATGAGATTGACGCTTTAGAGCGTAATGGCACATGGTCTGTTGAGGATCTTCCCCCTGGTAAGAAGGCAATTGGTAGTGGTTGGGTGTATAAAATCAAGTGCACTGACAAGTCAAAGGTGGAACGTCTCAAGGCTCGGTTGGTTGTTCATGGCAATCGACAGGTTGCCGGTGTTGATAAGAATGAGGCGTTTGCTCCAGTTGCAAAGATGGGTACGGTACGTCTTCTTCTAGTTGTTATTTCTTTGAATTGGGAGTTACATTAGATGGATGTTCATAATGCATTTCTTCATGGTGATTTGGATGAAGAAGTGTATATGTAGTTTCCCCCAAGGTATGGTACTCCGACACCAGGCAAAGTTTGTAGGTTGCGAAAGTCTTTATACGGCTTGAAGCAAACCCCGAGACAGTGGTTTTAGAAGTTGTCTAGTGCTCTACGAGGTTTTGGGTTTAAGAACTCATATGTTGATTACTCTCTATTTAGCTATGTACAGGGCAGTGTCTCTTTGCATGTTCTTGTCTATGTCGATGATTTGATTATTGCAGGCTCCTCTCATGATGTTATTGTTCGGTTTAAGGCCTATTTGTGCGAATGCTTCTATGTGAAGGATTTGGGTGTGCTTAAGTATTTCTTAGGCATTGAGGTTGCTCGGAGTCCGGAGGGTATCTTTCTTTCTCAACGAAAGTACGCTTTGGATATTTTGACTGAGGCAGGTATGTTGGGTTGCAAACCCATTGACACTCCGATGGAGTAGAACCATCGTCTTGCACATGCTTCCGGTGAGCCGTTTGCTCAACCGGAACAATATCGTCAGTTGGTTGGACGATTGGTCTATTTATCGGTCACACGACCAGAGTTGAGTTATTCAGTGCATGTTTTGGCATAGTTTTAGAGTGAACTGCAGGTTTCTCATTGGGATGCGGTCATTCGTGTCTTGTGCTACCTTAAGGGTAGTCCGGGACAGTGAAGGATTTACGCTTGACGGAGTTTTATGACAGTGATTGGGCGGCGTGTCCTTTGACTCGGTGTTCCTTGTCAGGTTATTTTGTATTCTCAGGTCGTTCCCCTGTTTAATGGAAGACTAAGAAACAACCTACTGTATCAAAATCCTCGGCTGAAGCCGAATACCGGTCTATGGCATTCACTACTTGTGAGTTGAAATGGTTGAAGCAGTTGTTGTTTGTTCTTGGTGTTAATCATTCAAAACCTATGTAGTTGTTTTGTGATAGTCAGTTGGCCCTGCATATAGCTAAGAATACGTGTTTCATGAATGTACGAAGCATATTGAGGTATATTGTCATTTTGTTCGTGATGAGTTGTTAAGTGGTAATATTTCTACTTCATATGTTTCGACTAATTATCAGTTGACATATATTCTTACCAAGGCTCTTGGACGACAACAGTTTGGGTTTCTGTTATGCAAGTTGGGCATTCGCGATTTGCATGCTCCAACTTGAGGGAGAGTATTATCGGTTGGTTATATATGTTAATATTGTATTTATGTCAGGTTTATCTTATTAGGAGTTTTAGGCGAGTTAGAGGTTCCTTTTGTATTGTGTATATATACGATATATGAAATGCAAGGCCTAAGCCATTTTCTCCAATTGTTCTTAACTTTTAACACATATGATGTTTAGTTTATGTAATTGATACCTTGTATATTATGAAAAATGTTGAAATACTAAAATAACATAAAACAAATATTCGTTGTCATTTATCAAATACTATAAGAGTATAAGTATACAATGCTCTAAAAATAAAAAAGGAATTGCATCAAATATATAATTGTACACATTTTAGATGGTATTGATTCAAATTTATACATGATGTTGCTATTAGAAAACTTATTGGTCATATGACCTTATATTATTAAGATCTTTTTCCATCAAAGTTAACCAAAACATCCATTAAGATTACATCCAATTACAACATACTCCTACATCACAGTCAAAAGACGAAATCTTCCATTCTTTTTTTTTTTTTTTTTTTAGAAAAAAAGACGAAATCTTCCTAGACATTAGAAATACAAACTTTTTTCCCCTTATTTTAGCACTAGAAGTCTAGAATGTTATATTGGCTCTTCTAATCTTGTTATCCCTTGGAATTTATTTATTATAGTGTCAATTCATTACTAGAGAGTTGAAGTTAATTCTAGAAATTAAACAAAAGATACAATCTCACATTGATAATCTTTAACAAATTGTTTTATTGACACTTTTTTTTCTTCACTAAAAGCTCCATTCTCATGAAATGGTCAGATAGTATAATTTATGATATCGTGTGCTTATTTATACCTTGCATAAGGTTAAATCAATTATTTATGACAATTCTTCAACTCACTAGTGCACCTAACAAAATTTCACGCTTGCAATCACACCTTTTAAAAATAAATTCCCTTCTAGATCCATCAAACCACCACCAATTAACAAATTGACACTAGAGACTGACATATATGTTCCTGACTTCTTAGTTCTTACTCAACCTCACTTCTGAAAGTCATTCACTTCACTGAACTAGTTTTATTTTAAGTTTGGTGGGCAAATCAAACCATACCAAACCCACATCAAGCTTTCGCCATGGAAATCGGGATCCATGATCTTAAACAACCCCTTTCTTTCTCTCTCCTGAAACTCCCAAATTTCATACTACTACTAACAATAACTATACTATTTTCTTCGCATTTTCAATTCTCAAATGCTTCAATTCACACTTACGACCGACAAATTTTCAGTGAAGTCGGCAATTCTTACCTTCTTGCTGGTGGCAGTGAAGCTATTCGTGCTTCTCGTTCTTCCTTTTCTTCTCCCATTTCTACGCGTGTCGTTTCTCACTCTCTTAATGATGGTACCTCATTTATTCGGTATTTTTCTCTCTCCTTTCATCGATCTGTGGATACCCTTTTGTTTGTTTGTCCTAAATTTTTGATTTTGTGAACTGGGTTTGTTTGTGATTGGTTTTTAGGGTTAAAGTTTGGATCTTGGTTTATGTTTATGCTTTTTGAATCTAATTCTTATTGGTTGCATAATTGTGATGTTATTGCGATAATTTGAGAAATGTATAATGTGTAAATGTCAATGTGAAATTGTATTGTGTATTGAAAGAAGGGGGAGATGAATCTATTAAATCAAATCGTTCCGTCCAGATGAAGCTATTTTATTTTCTATGGGAGGAACATAGAATATGAAGTTCAATATAGGGTAGAGTTTGATATGCTAGCCAAAGAGTGGAATGGGAGATTGTTAGACCTTGTTTGGTTAACTATGTTGATTGGAATGGGGAGAAAATCATAGGCAGGAAATGAGTAACTTTACTGTTGTATGATTTAATAGTGATTTGAGTGGAATCCTTCTTCGGTTAGCTAATACGGAGTATAAAAGAATTGGAAATTATCATGTGTTCAGGAAACCTGGATGAAGGGGAGGGGAGGAGTAGACTGGCATTGTTTGGAAAAGTTTCTCAAGCATTTGAAGGATTTGGTTTATTAATAGAGGAAGGAAATGTTACGTTAATTTTATATTGAAGCCTTTCCTGTCAATGCAATTCTATACATAAACTTAAACCAAATCAAGGGAAAGAGATTTTTTTTTATTCCCTTTTGTTTAATCAATCCCTTCCTGCCAAGCGAAAAGGAGAAGACTTATTTTCCCCCTTCCATGAAAGAAATGTGGTGGAATTACAAGCTAGAGGAAGGAAGATTAGAATAGTATTGATTTTTATCCATGCTACCGAAAGAAGAATGACAATTAGAAACTTTTTTGTTGTCAGTGAGGCTACCAAGTTTAGGAGGTAGAGTTCCCAAAGGGCCACAGCCCCTTAAAAGTTTGTAATTCTATTATCTTTAGGAGTTCGGAGAGTGATGCTTGATAAATATTTCAAATCAGGTTGTAATTTTAAGTTACCATGCTTGAGAATGAGAACTTTGAGTATGTGTCAATGTATGTTGCACTAATATGAAGAGCTTCAGAGCTTATATTGTTTGCCCTTTATTTTGTCTTTTGCATGATTTGATCTTTGTTGCCACCTCCAAAAAAAAGTTATTATGCTTATTTCTTGTCTCTTTGTAAAAGGATAAAGAAGCTTCTCCCTGGCTAGTAATAGTGTAATACAATCATCTGATATTAGTCAATTTGTCTAGATTTGAGAATATCACATTCTGGAGAAGCAAGGAAGCTGCTCAAAAACAATCAAATACAGAACATGGCTCTGGACTTGTGCAAATTGTGATTTTTGAAGCAGCTGATCGTGATGATATTGGTGGTTCTGCATACGGTGGGCAGAGGTCTATTTGCTGCACCCCTGATCTTGCTAAACTTGAAGGATGTAAGCAAGGGGAAGTCATAAAAATACGATCATCTACAGATAAAAATTGGCCTGTGATTTTAAATGTGAAGTTTAAAGGACGTTCTTTAAAAACTAGGATGCGTCGGCAAGAGGTGTATGTCACAAAGACAGGAATGTACAACTTGTTCTTCATTTCTTGTGACTCAGAGTTGAAAGGACTAGTTATGAATGGGAAGACCGTGTGGAAAAATCCTGATGGCTACTTACCTGGAAGAATGGCCCCATCCATGAAATTCTATGTTTTCATGTCCCTTGCCTACCTGGTGCTCAGCTCAATATGGTTTTTTCAGTATTATAGATTCTGGAATGAAGTACTTCAACTTCAACACTGCATCACAGCAGTTGTTGTCCTTGGATTGTTGGAAATGTTCTTTTGGTATCTTGATTATGCTAATTTCAACAGCACAGGCGTTAGACCTGTTGTGCTTACAACTTGGGTTGTAACTCTTGGAGCTGCAAGAAGAACACTTTCACGTCTACTTATTCTTTCATTATCAATGGGTTATGGTGTGGTGCGGCCTACTCTTGGTGGTCTTACCTACAAAGTGCTGGTTATTGGGGCAACTTACTTCCTGGCAACTGAACTGCTAAACATTACGGAGTATGTGGGCACTGTTAATGACGTATCAGGAAGAGCAAGAATACTTCTTGTCCTTCCTGATTCATTCCTGGATGCTTTTCTAATCTTGTGGATTTTTACTTCTCTTTCAAAGACACTGGAACAGCTACAGGTTTGTTGCAGTTTTTTGTTTGATTTTTTTTTTTTTTGGTTGCTCGGTTGTTGTTTATGAATCCATGTAGCCAGCTTCATCTAGTGGGATAAAGCTTGTATGGTTTGTTACGTTAGTAATAGGGAAGTTTAAGATGGTGATCGAGCTCATAAATGTCGCATAGACTTATTTTCACTTTTAAATAGAGATTAGGGACCAATATTGCAAACCTATGGCCCACAATTTCACACCTCCTCCTCTCCCCTCCTAAATTGATGCTTTCTCAGGGCTCATGCTACCCTTGTCATACAATCTGCATAGAAGCTCTAAATGCTGCTAAAAAATCTGCCACCTTTTATGTGTCTGCTTCCAGTAAATTGTGGTTTTTTTGCCTCACTTTTTCTAGGTTAGTCAGAATAAGCCTTGCTGGAAGTGATGGTTTCTTATTAGACTAGAAATTTGTTTTCAGGTGAAGCGAAGTTCTGTGAAGTTGGATATCTACAGGAAGTTCTCAAATGCATTGGCCGTTTCAGTGATTGCTTCTGTTGCATGGATAGTATATGAGGTATGCTTTAAGTTTATAAAATAGACATATAAGGTCTATGGTCAATAAAGTTCAGTATTTTGATTAGTGTATAAAATGGGCAGAAGATTTTCTGATGTCTGCATGATATAATGGCTGCTGAAATCTATTTATATGTGGCATCTAGACCTCTGGGAAGATAAAGGTGCACGTATCTAGTTTAGGGAGATAGTAGAAGTCTGTGAAAGATCATTCCAAGTAACTTTTTCAAATTTAGGGAATATAAGCACTTGCTTATAAAGTAATAGTAGAACTACTAATTTTATTACTAGTTTAATTTTATTTTTCATTTTTTTGGACTTAGTACAAGATTACAAGTAGTGAAGCAATAATATTGAAAGAACATGATGCAGTAGTCTTATCTAATCATGTAATCATGTTGTGTTGGTAGCTCTGTCATGGCCTTTGTACGGGAAATAATATATTGGATGGCCCAAGTACTTAAAAAAAATACTTGTATCTGAGGACTGGAAAAGGAAAACATTAAATATGAGTCATATGACTCATATGAGTTAGAACTCTTAGAAGTAGATTTCTCTAAAGAAAAGTGAAAGGGGGCTTTCAGGATGTCTTTTGCATTTATCACCCGAAAAGAAAATAAAGAGGTTAGTATTGATCATATTGTAGTTTGGCTGTTTGGGCCATAGAAGGGATGATCTTACTATGAACAGATTAGTGCTTTTATAACATCATTTCTCTGTTTGGCTGTTTTTTGGGAAGTGGCTACTGCCCTGTTGCAAATGTACTTATTCTGGTAATTTGCCTCTTACAGGTGTATTTCAAGGCTACAGATCCTTTTAATGAGCGGTGGCAGAGTGCTTGGATTATCACTGCTTTCTGGGACATTCTGGGATTTGCAGTGTTATGCATAATATGCTATTTATGGGCTCCATCTCAGAGTTCTCAAAGGTAAGATGATACTCGATATTCATTAAGTTGTAACCTTGTGAAGCACCTCTCCTCATCTGGGAAACTGCCGGCTGAGCTGAATTTGTAAATGTTTGCCTTTGAATCAAGAATAACTTGTGCCCTTGGTCATAAGCATTATTGTTGCTAGCCTACAGCACTAAATCGTGCTTTTCTCTTTACAGGTATGCTTATTCAGATGGAGTTGGAGAAGAATTTAATGACGAGGAAGTACAATCTCTAACTAAAGGGAAATCTGGGGGTGATGTCAGTTTGGTTAAGCAAGGGCAGGATGCGACAATTGGTGGAAATGATGACGTTTATGATTCAGAAGAAGATAATCAGCCTAGTAAGGGTGAGTAGTGAGCAGTCTGAGCACTAAAAGGAAAGAATACATTACAGTAAATTGGGAATTTTGCTTTGACTCCAACCTGTAGGGATATGTTGAAGAAGCTTTTAGAATTTGGTTGATAGATGCGATCCAAAGATATTCAATGCTCGTCTTGGGTTATATAGCTGGAGGTACATATCAAGGAGTGTGCAAGGCATTATCCCAGTGCCAATACAAAAAAAAGGTTGCTCCAACAATTGCTACTCTGTAATCTTGTATCAGAGGTTTAACCATTCAAACCACATAGGAGGTGCCCTAGGCAATTTTGATTGCCTCTCATGTATGTATGTTTGTTATATATTTTTTTTTCTTAGCTATTTTTACCCTCTTCATCCCACAACATATTTGTTTGATTACATGTATAACATTCAATTATATTGATTGGCATTGCTTTACCTAATCTGTAATACTAAACTCAGTTATTCCTGACCCTGTCTATTATGTGCTATTGAATAGTTAACGTATATGTCAAGCAACCAAATTGAGATGTTTCAAAAAAAAAAAAAAAAAAAAAAAAAGAGAAGCAACCAAATTGAGAGGGTGATTGAATACAGCTCTAAGGGGAGGGGGCGTGCGAAAAATCAAAACCCTCCCTAACCTTGTATTGATTCAGGTGAAAGTCCCTCTGCTGTTAAGAGGAGAAAAGCTGGGGTTTTTGGGTCTAATATGGTCATTTGTTGTAGCTCATTTATGCATTTCAGTAAACAAAATTCTACCAAGGGCGGTATGGATCTGGATAATACTGCATGCTCCGAGCCTTAATTAGTAAATAGTTATAGTCAAATAATTCAGTATAGAGTACAAAACATTTGCTAAATTAAGCTCTAAAGAAAAACATGGTGGATTGTAAACCCTTCATTCTACCTTCTCCAAATCCGTCTGCAACCTGCTTTGCACTTACAAAACAACAGGTCAACTAATAAGTAATCGTTAAAATTACAGGCTTCTGTAGCCAAAACTGCTCTGAGGTCTCATCAAATTCTCTGATACAATTGTAAATGAAGTATATGCCACCAAAACACAAGGATCTACAGAATAGTACAACAATTTAATCAATAAATCCCTTATAAACACATAGAAAATACGGCTACTGAAAGCACAAATGCCTAACTTACACAGAACCTAAACCTCTCTGCCACAAGAGAAGTCAGTGAAAGAGAGCAAAATGCAAGATGCTCTTAGAAAGGAGCATCTCCTTCGGGCATGTCCCAGTTATCTTCATCATCCTCTTTTTTCTCAACCTTCCCAACCTCTTCCTTGCCTTGGAATGGAGCTCGGAATGGACCACGCCTGTAACCAAAAGATATTGAGTGAATGAGTGAACCACATATATACACACAGGAAGCAGAGACAAGAAAAAAACACTCCAGGAAACTTCAAACCTTTACAACAATTCAAGCAGTAAGCTTGATGAAGTTCAAGTTAATAATCATAATATGCAAAAGCTGAAATCAAACAGAATTGTCCCTCATTAGTCCTCCAGAGCCCCAAAATGCCTCTCATAAGTTCCTAAATTTCTCATGATATGCATTTTAAAATATTCGCCAGCCCTCGATGTAATCAGAACCATCATACAAACAACGATACAGTCATCTAAATTCTCAGGAGATGTTCAACAAGAGTATTAGCGATATCTGCAACTCTGGCAAAATATGTACTCTGTAGATACAAGTTTACAACCAGCATGGTAAATATGGGAATACGATTTTCCTACACTTGCATTCACTGTAAAGAAAATACACACTAATTAACAACAAGCTATCATAAGCACACTACAAGCCTAAGCCCAACGATACGTAGCTAAATATAGATGCTAAACACACCATGTATAGGCAAGTTAAACAAAACTTTGCTTGAAATCTTCTAAGAATTTCCCCTGTTTATCCAATATATAATTAAATTAGAGCATTAGACAATACCAAAATCTTGAATTAGCTATTGACCAAATATCCTGTTACTCAAATTCACCTTACAATCGTTCACTAGCTTAGTCAATTAAAAGTCTTTTGGTACATGGAAAGTGTACACAAATACCTGAGATCAAATTCCGTCTACATTACATCTCTTTGCGACTCCCTATACACCATAAGCTTATCTTAGCCAATCAATATCAACCAACATAACATTCACAAACCAAAGAAAGCACAACAAAATCACCAACCAAATTATGAAAAGATCATACTATATAAACATAAATGAAGTAAATAGAAGAAAAAGGAAGGGACCTTCGACGACTGTTACGCTTAGCAGCTTCACGATGCTTACGCTTCTTCTCATCCTGCTTATTCTCAAAGAAACGACGTCGTTTACACTCCTGAATAACCCCAGCTCGCATAACTTCTCTCCTAAATCGATTAAGAAGCCTTTCTTCAGGTTCATTATCATCCACCAAAACCTGAACATTATAAGCTGATCTGAAGTAAAGGGTGTTTGAATACGCAAGAGATGGGCATACAACCGCCATTACATCACCTGGGTTTTCTTCATTCTTTGAAATTGCAGCATTTTCATGTTTTTTAGGGGAGGAGAGAGAGAGAGAATTCGATTGGGAGGAGAGAGGATTTAGGTTGGGGAATTTGGGGTTGGAAGGAGGAGGATGTGAGGTGATTGATTGAAAAAGAGGAGAGAGAAAATTGAGAAGAGATGAGGATGAAGCCATGGATAACTAACAGGCTATACTGATTAGTGAGTCACAGAAAGAGGAAATAAGAGCAAGGTTGATGGGTTTTTATATTGGATAGAATCATAGAATTCTTGGGGGATAAATGGATAATATTGTATTTTAAGTCATTTGGGTCGGGTTTGGTTGGGTCGGGTATATTATGAAGATAATATATATGGTTTACTTTAAATAGTTCAAACTTCAAACCCAGTGAGGAGTCTGAGGACTAAGGTAGAAGGTGACCACTTACGGTCCAACCTGAGAATGCAAAATAAGGCTGGTTTTTCCAATAAATTGTGGCTCACTCAACTCGAATGGTTGGGTTGGGTTATTTAATTGTAATTAAGCTTGTTCATTTCGCCTTAATTTTTGCTAAATTTAGTTTTTACTTAATACTGAATAACGTGGCCTCAGTCACTACTTGACTTTTTTTTTTATTATTATTTTTTTTTTAATCACAAAAGATAGTTCAATTAGATCATTTAAATAATGTCAACAAAAAAAAAAAAAAAAAAAAAAAAAAATTGCAACTTAAAAAACAAAGGTACGGAATAATAAGCCAGAATCAATATAGTAGAAGTTATTTACAGTAGTTATTTATTATCATCGAAAAATAATATTTTGAACTGATTTTATAGTAGTGTAAATAAGCTTAGAATATGAAGCTCCAAAACAAATACAGCACAAGTCTCAGTTCAGGTCAGCTGCGCTGCAGAGGAAGACCAACCAGTAAGCTAATCAAATTATACAAAATGCTACATTACGCCTCTCTGCTATTGAGTTTCGATATTGATCTTGTAACAGAATACGTGGTACATGCTCAAAGATTAACTCTCAGGCTTTTTTTTACAAATACAGAGTCACTAATTCAAGCTATCAGCATGTCGAAGCAGTTTGTACCTTATTGCTACAGTCCTTATACGTAGTATTAAAAAAAACAAAAAAAAAAACAAACCATCTCACATTTTGGATGCTGTTAAATTCCTTCCGAAACCAGCTGCGGTTCTGGCTAACTCCAGCGAAACCAGCTGCGGTTCTGGCTAACTCCAGCAGAAAGGCATCACATGTTCCCAAATTAAAGAACAGATGTCCATATTGTTCACCCAGTTGAACCCAATCCAAAGGATTTGACAATGTTGCTGACTCTATCAGCAAATGTGCGAGAGGTTATCTTTTTACCGGGTACATGGAAAGGATTTGAAACTGCATCCACATAAGCTTCATGAAATTTCCTGAAGAACTGTTTTCAACCAAAATACACACGATCAGCTAAAAAACCCACCTTCACTCAGTTAACAGGAAACACAGATATAATATGTGCAAGTGGCCAAGTGAGAAATATAATATATACAAGTGGCCGAGTGTGCAACTCTCTGAATGAACCCACCAGGATCCTATGTAATGAGAAAGCACCAAAATCCATTATAAAGCTTCCGAACAATGTCATGCTGAGTTTAATTGGACAGATACTCTCATTTAATACGCAATGAAATCATCATAATAGCTTGTCATCCAAAGAGATAATTTCAACGTAATAGAGAACAGACAAGCTGAAAACTCAGGCACCACCCTACTAAACCAGTCATTGATATTGCTTCAATATAAAACCACACCCCTTGAGCTTGACAATCAATAACAGATCACAGAGCACAGCTTCCTTAGGTAGATAAATGAAACAATGACTCCTAGATGCACAGGCATCTAATTGATCAACCTTATCTCAGCAGCACACACCAGAAAGACCAGAATTTTATCCTAAGTATCATCTAATATTATTAACATTATTAAGAAAGTCTACAAAGCTAGCGATAGTACAATACCACTATTCTACAGTGCTACCAACATTTATTCCTATACCAAGTGCAACAAAGAGTGAACTCCAGGTAAAAAAAGGAGAGATGGACAAAAGGCACAATATAAAGCAAGCACTTCTTTTTTTTTCTTTTTTTTTTTTCTTTTTTTATTGGCAAAGTTTCCAAGCTTATTGTAAATACTTACAATTCTCACATCAGCATCCCTAACATCTAAATCAGTGGTCACCAAAATGAATTTCACCTTAGTGTTAGCCAAATAGCCATACCTACAAGCAATAAAAAGTTGACTTCATCAGTATCATTATTTATTCGGCTGCCTAAACCACACTACAAACAAATTGACACAGTCCATATTGGCATAATTAAGAAGGAAAGATGCATACACTTTGTAATTCTCAGTTGGGTAAAGCAGACCTAAAAATGTTTCATTCAGCACTGGCCCAGATTTCTTGGGATTGTTCACTGAGATGTAATAGTAAGTCAGATAACATAAATTAAATTCAACAGATTTGTCAAGCATTCATTCCACAATTAATGGCAGATACATGATCAAATTATCTCCATACAATAAACGGTATGGTAATGTTAATAACAGTAAATAAAAAAATTATATCCATCCTACTATTCATACACTAAGACATCAGAACACCTGGTTAATTGGTTAAATACTTAAATGTGTTCCCAATATCAAGCTATCTGCATAGTATCATCATAATTAAAACTTCAACAGGCTTTACCAAGGAATCTAGGTCTAAACACTGATTGATTAGAAAAGCATTAGGGTTGTTCTTGCAAAAGACGATACTATGAGAGCAATGACTTGTAACCTATCTAATTTAAATGCATAACACACTCCATAAAAGCATAAACTTTAATATAGCTTCATTGTTAGTGCCTCTACTTTATTCATGTATTTAAATCCCAATTAAGCCATCTCTCTCTCTCTCTCTCTCTCTCTCTCTCTCTCTCTCTCACACACACACACATACACACACATAAAATCCAACTAATCCTTCGATTCAAAGGACAACTTTACAAATTAGAAAAGGAGGCTTTCTAGGTTATCATCAGTGACTTCCCAATATATGGTTGCAATAACACTAAAAGGACAACAATCCAATTTAGTTTCTGACTTATGTAGTTAATGATTTAGGCTAATAGGGGTTACTCTTTAAACTTGAGTGGGGGTGGTACTGTGGAATGATAATCCATACTTATAGGGGTGACTTTTGAAACTCAAAATTGTGAATTCTAGCCAGTAAAATTAAATATGTTAACCTACAATGGCTTCTAATACTTTGGGACAAGGGAGACTATTCAAGCTTAAACGTCACATAAACAACATAGGTCCAGGCTGTGATTGTTAATTAAAACCCAAATTCTGTATTTTGTTGTTGCTTGGCAGACTATGAACGTAGAACTAAGGCTTCTTTCTTTTGTTGTATCATTCTATGATATGTGATTGCAGACTTTTTTGTAGCACTCACTCATAACCAAATAAAAACAAATATAACATATAGTAGTTGGAGTTTGGAAGCAATATGTTGTGTATATTCAGATGTTCAGTGACGAAATCTTAAAAATAATAAGAGGAGAACAAGAAGCAGAGCTTCAACAGTCACCAACACGTGATAGATGCAAAGCTTCATTGTTGAAAACAAAACGTAAGTTGGAGGAGATGAAACTCATAGAAGGGAGGAGAAAGAAAGAAATGGGAGATTGAGGAGAGTGGAAAATAGAGATGTACTACTCCGTACCTCAGAATACTGTAAATTCATATGGGTCTCATGTTGGAATTTTCCAAAGAAATATTGATCATCTTGTAACCTCTCATTCGTACAGTCAATTAGCAATTTCGCACACTCAGAGGCGCAGAAAAGGGTAAATTCAACAACAAAATCTGTTATTGAAATCCAAATTTCTACAACCATACATAAACTTGGCTAGTTGGTTCCAATAAGTCCCTACATTCAGAAATGCCCTCCATCAAATCTAGGGAAATGGTTTTACCAACTACTTGTACAATAAAGAACTAACCACCAAATCAAATCTCAACTCTAAAATCCAATCTTTTATGTTCAATTCTCTCATAAGTGAAACCCAAAACCTCAAAAATTTCCTACTTCCAACCTATGCTACTCAGACTCGCGTCCAGCTCAGCTACTCTATATGAAGTTCCATGATTGTTGCCCTAAATGAAGTGTCCAACTGTCCGTATTCAAAACCCTTGTCGGATTAGATCAATCCAACAAGGGTACTACATCTAAATGAAGAGTCCGAGTAACATAACATTCAACACAACCCAGATAAATAAATAACCAAATTATGAGCTAAAAATCATCCAAATTAAGAAAACAAATAAAGAAAATCGTAAAGACAAAAGGGACCTCGTTCGTCAATAGAATCAAGTGAGCAGTGAACAATGTGATGAAGCTTGAGTGCATCATTATCATCACCCTCAGTAAAACTTTGAAGGTAGAGTGGATTATTCTGCCAAAATTACCCTAATATTCAATTTAATTTGCCCAGAAATCAATAAAAAAGACAGAAATATAGTTAATTAAATTCATCAAATTTGATAGATAATTATGAAAGAGAGAGAATGAGACCTGGTGACCGACGACTGCGACACAGACGATCATATCCAAAACACAGCCGGATTCCTCCGTTTACGGCGGTGTGACTTGGTCGGCGATCGGCGGTCGGAGGGTTGGAACTTGGAAGACGAAAGATGATGTTTGGAAGTTGGATGTCAAAATGAGAAAATGGAAGTAAATCAATAATACTCGTAACTAAAGGGAAATTAGTCAAATTACTGAAGGGAAGGGCGTCGAACCAGTGATCTATCAGTAACCATTAAAATTAATTAGTACTCGTAATTACTCCCTCTATGTGTTTTTTCAACTGTCGTAGTTTAACTAGAAGGGATCAAAAATTCGGGCCAGGCTTTAATATCGAATTTCATGTCTACGTTTGGAAAAAATGATCTGTTTTTCTGGTTCTTTCCGGATCGGTTTGAATTTTTAACTACAAAAGTGATTTTGGCCTGCCTAAACCTATCCTTTTTCAGCAAGATAAGGTCAGGTCGTAGCTGATCACCTCTATAACTCAATGTTGGTGAAACATAAGAAGAAAAAAACAAAAAAAAAAAAAAAAAAAAAAACTCTTATAAATCATGTGTGGGATCGTCTTCAGCTTTCCTTTCTTTTCCTTCGCATTGTTTTGTTATTTATCGTTTTTTTTTTTTAAAAAAATTGTTTAGTCAATATAGAGGATGCTTCCCATATGGAGAGACATTAGAGAGATTTCAATCCAATACTCTGTAAAATCAATTGTGAAAAACGTAAATTATGTTGAACCAGGTCATTAATTACCCTTTAATTTCCAAATAAACTGAGAAAAAAATATTAATTAAATAAGACAATTCGTGGAAATTGAAATCAATATAATTGTTTCTCCTAGATTATACTCCGTATTAGCTCATTCAGAAGATTGTTATTAGTTTAATTATTGTCTAAAAAGAATTATTGTCTAAGCAAATTCAAGTAGTTCTTTGGCTTACCTTACAAGTGTTACAACCCTTGCGAATTTGCCCTTTGGCATATTCTTCTTCTACGACAAATGTTCTTAGCTCATGTTTTGTGGTTTAATTTCATATTAACTTTCTTAAAGAGATTTGTATAAATTAATACTTGCACAATAATGAAAGTGGAGTGCAATATAAGAGAATATTCCAATAGCATACTATGTACATAGCAAAATCCTTCTTTCCATTGTAGTTATAAAATGTTTACAGAAAAGTACGGAGTTAATTAGTTAAGGTAGCTAGGTGAGTATTGTATGGTCTTGTTTGCCAATCAAATGTTAGCTCGTTTACTTGATTTGGCTGAATAGCTAGTTGATAATTCGTAATAGTTGTTTGCTTATGTATGTTTTTAGTTTGCCTATTGTTAGTATTATTCGTTTTTAGATATGTATGATAAATGAGATATTAATTAATTGACTGTTAGCTACTAACTAATACTGATGCTCGATCTGTGTATATTATTATTAAAAAGGACCAATTTTATCATTTTTAATTGGAACAATTAACCAATTAGTTGCTCCCATCAGTCTTTTCTATTTGGTTGAAAGCCCTTTATCAAGATTTGATTTTTTGTCAATGGCAAAATATTATAAGCAAAAAACCATTAAAAAACCAATCAAGAGTTTATAAAATGCAACTACTTACCAAACAAAGCGCTTTTATTAATATGATCAAATCATCTTCTCAATTGAATCTGTACAAATTTTTCAAATTGTGGGCATCAACAAAATTAGGTTTCTTACAACTTTATCCTATCATGCTTAATTCTTAATTAGTAGAAATTAACTTAAGGTGCAGTGGCAACAATCTACCTATAAAATGTTGACATAACTACGACAACGACCGTATTATTATTGTTTTAATTAGTATAAAGCCGAAAATTATGTGCTTAGATTATCTGCGTATACATGATAAAACGCCAAATAATCCACGACTTACACTAATCCGCCGCATATTAACCATGGAAGCCTCTTAATTAAAATAATTAGAGATAAAGGCGTTAAAAAAAGAAGCCTTATCCAATCAACTCCCATTTTTGAGTTTGGGACGTGTCGATATCGTTGCTAATGATCTTGATTAATTAAGTTAATTAGCCAGCCATACTTTAATTATATCGTACATGCATGCCTTTCTACTTATACTTGGATTTGATATGATATTAAATGTTATTATGGGCTTACGTTACAATGATTGGATTAGAAGCTACCACTACACTAGGGAATTGTAGAGGTTGCGTATCTGATTTTTTCATATTTATCTATAGTTTTTAATTTATATACCATAAGAAATTTATGCTAAACCAGAAGCTTCCTCAATCAAATATGTATATGTATAAAAAGTTTCATGTTCGAACCTTGTTATAAGAACTTTTTGTTGTCAAATGTACGTAATACATAATTTTATATGACATGGCATACTTCTAGCTTAGTTAGTGACTAGGGGAGTTCCATGTAACAGGTATACGTTCTTAAAAATGCATTGGAGTTTCATGTAACAGGTATACGTTCTTAAAAATGCATTTTAATATCAGCATAGATTTTTCGAGTAGTGTAAGGATCAATTTGTGCAGTTATAAGCTCGGTGTAAGTTGTTCTCCAAGATAGTGAACAATGATATATCAACTAGAACGGAAAAATAAATATATAGAAGAAGTTACGAGAACATAAAATCAGCTAACTTAGTGAAGGTTTGTCAAAAGTATCTTCACCGAAAGTTCATAAAGAATTAAAGAGGGAATGGAGGTTTTAGGTAGTTAGCTAGTAATCTTTACGGTTTCTATCTATGTAAGAACTTAAATCATCAAATTAAAAGAACTGTGATAGTTGCTTGTAAATTTTAAAGTTTTGCAATACAGAGTACCTATACTATTGAATAAATTTTCACAATAATCATGTATGTACTAATTTGTGAATATTACCTGAAAAACCTATATACGGAGTATTGGTTGATTGATTATATGCATCCTAATAGTACACAAATTAAGTATGATGCATTGGTCGATTTGATCAATTACGTACACCATGATGCCATTTACCAACTTATATCGTCACTTGTTAGTACAACCCTCCTTTATTTTCTCTCTCACGAATCAGAAAGATATCACAACTACTATGAAGAACCATATTTTTTAATAATATAGCATAAAGATCTTATTATTAATTATTATACATAGATAATTTATTTTGATGTGAACTAATTAAAGAGTATTATATAGATAATGGATTATGGAAAAATAACTCAAAGATGGTATATTCATGTAGTTCTTACAAAAGTGCCCAAGGATATTCGACTCTTTCTTGCCTTGAAATTTATTTATTGGTTGATTATAAATTGTGGAAGTGGCGGTTTAATTCTTGCTAATATAATTTAAAACAAAGTTGTTGTTGGGTGCGTTAACTTTTTTTGTTTTTTGATAAGTTGTGTCATCATGTGTTGTGTTTGTATAGTTTCCTACTTGAGTTCTACTTCTTCGTGTTACTCTTTTAAATGGGCATGGAAAATTTAAATTGTTGATACTTGATATTATATGGATCGGAAGAAGATAAACGAAGATAATAAAATATTCAGTTACGCGATATATTAAGGAAAATAATGTTACCAAGTCATATATTTACTTATTTAGAAAAATTGGCTCACTTGCAATCAATAATGAAATCAGCTTAGCTATCATGCTTGATCTAGAACTTATGTACTTCGTGTATATTATAGAACGACAATACCTATATCAACTTTCTCCTACTAACACATCAAGTTTGGGGTGGCTTCATTCATATGCGTGTTAAATGGGTGTCAATGAATTTAGTTGAACCGAAGTTAATGTTTTAATTTTGTTGAACAAAGGTGGCAATTTAATTGATGGAACAAAATTGATCTTTCATGGACTTATACTTCCTTCTCCTACAATAAGTTTTTAAGATGAATGGGTGCATGCGATAAGCTTATCTATCCATGCAAATTCAGTACCTATTATCATGTTGTTTAGATAAGTTCATATAAATTTCAATAATTCATTCAAACGATAAATGAAAAAAAAAAAAAAAAAAACTATTTATATGCAAAGCAAATCTAAAAGAGCAAAGAAATCACTAAAATTACCTAGTATAGTTGTTATATTCCTTGCCACACATAAAGTGTTTATCACAAAGGCTTTGATGATTATGGTCGTTTACGGAGTATAATTATAAATTCTAAAATTTGTTCTATGCATTGGTGACAAATAATTAAGTGTCAAAATTAAGTAAAGTTTGTAATTAATTAATTAAGTGGTCCAAAGGCTCATAGTAAAGCTGACTAAGCATGGGGACCTTTTCTCCATTGAATCTCTTTCATCCTCCAATACTTGAAAACCCCTCCAAATTTGACTAAATTCCTATTCATATTCACCATCTCATCATCATAATCATCTCATGCTTGAAAAAAAAGTTTAGGAGTTTCCCTCCTAAGATTGAATGTAGTTAAATTGCGGCCACCAACTTTTATGGAAATTTTTCAGAAAATGTATGCAATTTAAATCCACACTCAAAGAGGAAAAATATTTACTAAACAACCCAAATAGTAAAAAAAAAAATAAGGTCTTGGAAAGTGACTATCGTATTTTTCAATTCAGTTAAGTTAATTTTGTTCACAATATCACTTCAATTTAGACTAATTCAAACCCATCACAATTCACAATTCACAGTTAAAGGCTCCTATTTATAGTGTCTATCGTATTTTTGTTTTGTGAGCATTCCTTACTATACAAACTTTCAATGGTCTTGTCTATCTTATCCGTAATTTGTAGTTTATCAAGATCAATAAAAAAAAGTTAGCTCTTGTATGTCATACATGAATGTGTTAAATACAGGTTTGGGCTGCACACTCCCCCTCACATAGACCTACTCAATTTGGCCCAGTGAACTTTAAGCTATTTAGGGTCCTATATGTGGGTCTGACTTTGATACCATGTTAAATACGGATTTGGATCATACTCGCAACCAAGAGAGATAGTCCACTTTACAAGCTCAAAGGAGATTCCATTATTCCAAAATCATATGGCAATAGAAGGAGTAGCTCCTTAACCTTATAAAGTAATTACCTCTCTCTTCTTCAACCAATGTGAGACACTTATATGTGGTTATAATTGGGAGGTCTATTCTTCAACATAATGCAAATAACACATTGTCAATTCTATTGTTTCTTAAATACGTTACAATTATAATTGTTTCTGGAAATAGAATACTCCTCGGATTGTTTGGGTATGGTATCAAGATATATCCTAGAGACTAAGTCCAAGTATTGTCCAAATGTTCTTCGGCTTCGCCTAGCAATGGTATGTCCAAGAGCTCCGCCTTGCACAGGTATGTCAGAGAGCTAGGCCTGCAAAACAGAGAAGGTTAGTTGCCCCGGGGGTATGACCCGGGAAAGCCCCTCCGATGCTTAAGTCAGCAAGTGTACTTTCTAGAGAGAGACAGTAGAGAGAGAGAGAGAGTACTTAGAGAGAGAAAGTAGAGAGAGAATTAGGAAAAA